CCCATTCCCATCTCCACTCCATCCCCATTCCCATCCCCGCTCCATCCCCATTCCCATCCCTACACCATCTCCATTCCCATCCCATTCCCATCCCCGCTCCATCCCCATTCCCATCCCCGCTCCATCCCCATTCCCATCCCCGCTCCATCCCCATTCCCATCCCCGCAACATCCCCATTCCCATCCTTGCTCCATCCCAATTCCTATCCCCACTCCATCCCTGCTCCATCCCCATTCCCATCCCTACTTCATCTCTGCTCTGTCCCCATTCCCATCCACACCCTGTCCTTGCTCCAGGCTCTATTTGCTTCCCTGCCCCATCCCCATCCCCATCCCCATCCCCATCCCCATCCCTGCTCATCCCCGCTCCATCCCCATCCCCATCCCTGCTCTGTCCCCGTTCCCGTCCCCGTTCCGATCCCCGCTCCATGGGCGCTGGGTGCCCGCGGGCAGCTACTCCATGCAGGAGATGTTCGAGGTGGTGGCGCAGGTGGAGCAGTACGAGCAGTTCGTGCCGTGGTGCCAGCGCTCGCAGGTGCTGGGGCGGCGCGCGGGGCACCTGCGCGCGCGGCTCCACGTCGGCTTCCCGCCCGTGCTCGAGCGCTACACGTCGCTGGTGACGCTCGTGCGGCCGCACCTGGTCAAGGTGAGCGCCCCGGCGCCGCGTGTGCCCCCCGGGACACCGCGTGTGCCCCCCCGGGACACCGCGTCACACCCTGGACACCACGTGCGCCCCATGACACCATGTGGACCCCCCCCAATACCACATGTGCTGCCCATTGATAGTGTGTGCCCCATGACACTCTGTGTGCCCCCTCCAACACCATGTGAACCCCGACACTGTCACCCCCGTCACTGTGTGCCCCCCAACACCTTGTGCCCCCCATTGACAGCATATGTGCCCTCCTGACACCGCGTGTGTCTCCTGACACCACGTGGCCCCCCCGACGCTGAGTGTGCCCCCCAACACCCTGTGTTCCCCGACACCACAGTACGTCTCCCCCATTGACCCCGTGTCCCCCGCTGACACTGTGCGTGTCCCCAACACGGTGCTGACACCCTGTGCGCC